GGTGGAGCCTGAGGGGTAACTTCTGAAAACGATTGAAATGGAAAAGTATACCATTTACCGAAAACTCGAAGGGCGAGATAGATTTTAATGGTCATTTTGAGTAAAAGTGTTGGAACAAAGGTGAATGTTATTCGCACAATCTAGTAATAGACAAATTTCCTTTAAACATTTTTTCTCAATCTCGATGCAACCCGAAAGAAAATTATGTTTGGGGCTAAAGAAACAGCACTGACTGAGCATATTTTCAGTTTCCTTTTCACTTTGTACAAGCATTAACCATGCACTTTCTTGGGCCAGTTTTGTTTGCTGTCTTTTGACGGCCCACTTGGATAAAGCAGTAAGAGAAAGACAGGAAAGTTGAAAGCACAGCCGAATAGCAAATGGAGAATTCTAGAGGACTAATGTCGTTAAGAAATTAAACCGATGCATGAGCTCCACCGTTTACGACACTAACCATTAATTACAATGACCCCGAGGTCCCCATCCGGGAAGCCTAACGCTACCTATACGACTGAGCCTCTTGGTCAGGGTTTTCATCCCTTAGCTTGACCACCCTTTTTTCCACCCACTACGTGCGTTAGCAAATAGGGCGTGCCACGGTAACCTATTTGGCGGTACGTGTAACACAAGCTCCAAAGAAGGTCGATCATTTGCTCCAATGAACGAGCGCGGTTACCCAAAACTGTCCTTAACCTCAGCACTATTCGTTCATTTGCCCCACCAGATCGGTGCAATTTTGCGTAAACAGCAGTGTCCGAACACCGACAATCTATTTTTATTCTGTTCCCGTAATGGCCAGTCTCTGCGCCATAAAGTAGGAGCGGTTTGACCGCTTCAGCATACACTCGACTCTTCATGGACAGCCGGGTGTCTCGACGGCGCCGCAGATGTCTACTGTATGCACACCGACACTTCATCTGTGATGCACTCACCTGACGAGATAGAGCTGCCCAGTTAGCAAAACTTGTCTACTTTCTCTACTACTTCCCCAGTCAGGGTGAGACTGGGCACTGAAATAACCCAGTCTTGTAGTAATATGTTACACCTTGAAGGTGAAAAATGCATACCGAGCATGGTTACACTAGCACCCACTCTATCCAGTGCTCCTGAATCGAGGAGAGTGAAAATGTGGTCAGTGCAACCTTGGCCACATATAAAACCAGCCTGATTCTCACGCATGCACCCTTAACGTACACGGAGTATGATCCCAGAGAGAAGTTTAACAGCAATGTTGATTGAACTAATTGACCAAACTGAAAGAGTATGCGGACATTAAATGTGGCAAAGTTGAAAGATAATTTTTGCTTCAATAATCCGATAACTTCCGCTTTTTGGTCTTATTGGTAAAACGCTGAGCGATACTCGATGAGTGACCTAAGCAGGAGGCATCTGGAATTATTCGGAATTAAGAGGAAGAACTAGACAGATATGGGAGGCTTTTGCAAATGAGTGGACGACATAATTTGCGGTAGCCCACACCGACGAATTGGTTTTACTTTTGGAGCGCTGATCGGAGCGTTCGACTCAAAAGTCTGGCCCACAAGGCAATGAGGAACGTGACCGAAGCACCAGTGTGGGAACTTCTAAAGACCTATCACACAAGGCCTTTGGGTTTCGATTCAGTGTATTGTCCGCTAGTGCGTCGATTGTCGGTCCGCTGTTTGGGATTGGCCCTTACTCTCATGCACACAATGAGATAAGCGGAAGCTGGGCTACCCAGCTTGGGTGAACAGTAGCTATCCAGTGAAAGGCGAAGACTTCTCCCACCGTCGAAAGGAAGTCCCAGGTACCCTGCACTTATGTCCATCTACCGGGGGGTTGACCGGTAAACTGACCCTCACCGTGTTTATTTGCCGGAGTGACCTCTCCTGGAGCGAGAGTGGATGATCAACGAAGCCATGGGGTGCCAAAGCAGCTGGCCTTGTGAGTGAGCTTTGTCTGATCTCTACCTATTGACCGTTCAGGCATGATCAGATCTCCTGGTTTGACAAAAGCCATCCTGTGTAGCTCGCAGAGTCGTGGAGGCACACAAGCCATTCCACTACGTCAAGATACAGTCTCCTCGTGATGGCTTGGACATGTAGATTACGGCGAAACAAAAACAAATCGTCTAGTTTCAACAACGGAAATAGCAGTTTGCTACTCCCTTTTCCCTAGACATCTGCTTCACAGCAGCCCAATGCGTAATACTCACATCACGTTCTTGTAATATTAATTTGAGATCGACCGTAATGTGAAAGCGTAGGAGCCACGGCGTAGTTCTCACACCTGGGAAAGTCGGTACAAACTTTGTGTTCACGCAGCTTTGAATATAGAAACGCTATTGATGGTAGTCAGATGATCATTGAAGACTGTGTTAAAACGATTGGAAACCATTTAGGCACAGAGGGTAGGTAGGTAGATTGAATTGAATGTGGCAACGATGACCCACTGTTCACTGGAGGTTCGTATTCGTTGACAGAATGCAGGTAGCACAGCTTAATGCTGCTTAGCGCGTTTTTAGGGAGCGAGTAGAGGAACCACCAGCTTGAAAGTTAACTATGTCAGATGAACCTGTTTCATCAAATAGGATTTCTTCGACGGTCACACGCGGTGCAAGTCAGCCATGTTGAGTCATAGGTTTACGGTGGTGGCATTGGTGGTCAAACAGTCACTATCACTGGCCTGCTTTGGGTCTCGGGGTCATCCGAATTTGGCCATACGTAAATTCGCACAAAGTTTGAACTAAGGCAAGTGTGAAGAGTAATATGGTAAAAAATGTGAAGATATTGTCAAAGATGGATTATGAAGTATGGTCAGTTCGAATCAATGACATCTATCTCACATCGCTCTCCATAAGTAACTGTGAGTGGACTGCGAATTGGAATATGGTTTGACAGATTAGATTGGCCCATTAAACAGTAAGCTTGTAAAATAGGCCTGACTTGGTGGGAGGTTTTCGAGCGGAGTAAACATATGGTACACTGTCCCCTCTCGTTGCTCTCAGGCCAAAAGAAATGACTACCTCTGGAAGCGACATCTGAACAAACATGCATTGGTAATTGTAATCAGCGCGGATGCGAACTGTTTGGCTCAGTGGTAACACACACAAATTATATGCAATGGGTCTGGAGTTCAAAACCCGAACGGGACGACGATTATACATCACTGATGGCCTCTAAGGAGAAAGAAACTAGTCTACTGTTTCTCAAATGTACAGCTGACTGGATATAATGAGGATTGTGCCTGACGATAGAAGAATGGTTCACTCAAATCAATATTCTGTAAATTTTGCATTTAGAAACCACAACCGAAAATCACATGAACTAAGAATCTAGAACAAATGTAGAGCCAAAAAACGAAGTACTATTAGCAAATAAATAATAATGTTGAGGATGATAATAACTGCTGACTCACGAGTCGCCACGGGAACAATCAACGGCACAGTAGCCGTGGGAACCGATGGACGCAAAACAGTCGGTGTAGTGCACTGAACTATAGCCGGAAGTGTTGGAAGTTGTGGTAAAGTGGAAAAAGCAGATGAGGAAATTGATGTTCCATGACGGTTACGAGAATTGTGGTGTCGTTGCCCGCTACGATGCTTGCCACCCGATATGAAGCCACCGGAATTTCGTGCGGCTGGAATCACGGTTGGAGTAAGAATGAGGTCGCGTAGTCGTGCATCAGCCACAGAATCTTCATCCACCTCACCGTATCCCTCAAGCAACTCGTCTAATTGTGGGCGTGTCAGTTTGGTGACCTCGGATAAGGGTAGATAAGTGCAGCCCTCTTCCACATCCCAGTAGGCTTTGCAGTACGCTTCGTGCTCTTTTATGCCCCGGTTGGGTGCCCAGGCCACTTTGATTTGTCGTCCGTTCATGGTGGACTGATCCATTTGAGTCACAGCACGGTGTGCTGCACGGCGAGTGGCAAATGTGACAAAAGCACATCCACGTGGCGGGATAAAATTACAGTCCACCACCGGTCCCTCAGCCACCTCGGCACACAGAGCCTGTAGACGACTTTCAGCCAATTGTTTGTGCAAATGCCCAATGAATACCGTGTGCGACAAGATACCCACACAGTCTGGCCGTAAAATCGGTAGGCCCAGATGTTTTCGTCTGCGTTTTTGGTCTGAGGTGGGTGTGAGCGGCTGCGCTGTTTGAACGGGATGTGATTGTGTCGAGCGTGGGTCTGGACGACGTCTGGCGGACAACATCAAAGATGAATCATCCGCCGAATTTTCCGCACCATCCTCATCGTCGTCGTCTTCGTCAGCTTCTGCATTTGAATCGCTCTGATCGGAAGAACTGCTAGACAGGAGTCGAGCGGGATAAGTTCCAATTCCATCATCATGAGACTCGACACTGTATATTGAGGGATGGTTCGAGAGGGGGGAACGAGTGACAGTGAGGATGAATAGAGGGAAATCACCCAATTATTTGGTAGAATCGTATCAAGTGGAACCTTTTTA